TTGTCATTATCTTTCATCCACATCACTATAATGTATTTTGAGGTGAGGGGGTTGAATATTTCTGTTTGCAACTGTACGTAATAGTGTCAGTTACCCATTATTGACCATCATTTATTGCCCCTGATATATACCGTCCATTCCTAGAAACTAGGGCTGCGCAATTAATCAAAATGTTATCATGATCGCAATATGGCCAAGTGCAATATGCAAACTGCAGAAGCTGCAGTTTGTTTGATAAAGATAAAATGTGCGACAAACAGCATTAAAATGAAGTGCTTTAGTGCTGCCCTACAAATTTTATTAGTTTTTTCAGTGAAATTTACGTTTAACATTTACATTTTTACAGTCTGACACTAAATCTTGTTATTTGATTTTTTTACCCAATATACAACAAGTGACTGTATGAATTCATAGTATAAAGGAAATGATAACATTACTTCTATAATTGAAGTAATGATGTAATGGTTTGTGCCAGACATTTATAGCACCCTACGACACTGAGACTTGCTGTATGTTTCCTGTTTCCTGCCCGCCAGCAACAAGACAGGTGAGCTGCTCCACAGCTGCCATGTGTTCACACTAGTCATGATCGCACCTCATGCAACACAGCTTACCACGACACTTACACTGCTGGCAGACTCTTAATATTTCCTAATGGAAATTCAGCACTGAAGGAATGCTAAATTAAAAAGGACTACTACTGAGCTGCAGCCAGAGGGAGCACATTTTTATTATTACATACAGACAACAGCTAACACAGGCAGCATTTAATTAAGCTCAACCCAGTCAAGGCCTTTGGCATATAGAACTGTTATGAATATTGTACTGCCAGCCATACACTGACTCTCTACCAACCCTAAAAGTATTACACAGAAAAAGTATATAAAAACAGTATTCTGGGTGGTTATCAGGGTGTTGTTGGGGGGTACTTACTGGGTGCAACCATGGTCTGTGTGTTAGGAGTAATTACAGAGATAGTACCCCTTTATTTATATGTATTTCTATTTAATGTCTATTATATTTTCACTGTAATACAGCTGCAGAGTGGGGGGCATGGTGCATTGTCAAAATGCACAGCAACCAGTTTTTAGGAAGTGACTGACTACTTCTGCTACTTGCTGACATATCAGTACTTGAAACTGCTGGCTGCTCGTCATTTATTTTGTACTACTGTGAACTCAAAACACTGGGCATTTGCAGCCAGTGTCAGTATGGATAGACTACTTCCAGTCTCTATGCTAAGCTAGGCTAACCACGTCCTGACTCCATTTATGTGCTAAAGACACATATCCACCTTCTTCCCTCCCTCTCAGAAAGGAAGCAAAATGTTCATGCCAATAAATGAAGCGAACCCTAAAGACCTGGCACAGACACTCAAAGCACATGCAGGTAAAGATGCACAGGTACACATTTACTGTTCCCACCACTAACGGTATCAGTTTCAAGCTATTTTGGAACATGGGAGCTTCATGTGTCATTTCCTCTTGGGTTACTTCTGACACATGTCACTAATACAAACAAACACCATATTTGGGATGCATGCAAGAGAGTGCAAGAGCCCGGTGAGACTCACACATTTATCTGTAATGTGTGAGCAATAATGATTTGTGAAACATAATACTGGCAATGTGCAACTTGCATGTAAGCAGTGCTCACTAATCTCATGACTGCAATTAGACTAAAAACAGTTCCTTCAAACTAAAGATGCAACGATCAGTTGATTAATGGATTCATTGATTACTTTTTTAGTATTAATCATTTTGAGTAATAATAAGAAGAAAACATGTCACAATTCAGCATCTCAAATGTGAATATTTTCTGCTTTCTTTAGTCCTCTATGACAGTAAACTAAATATCTATGGGTTGTGGACAAAACAAAACAATGGATGTCACCTTGGGCTTTGGGGAAACTAATAAACATTCTCACAATTGTCTGACATTTTATAGACCAAACAGCTAATAGATTCATCAATAAAATGATTGACAAATTCATCCATGATAAAAAACGTGTTACTTTCAGTGTGTGCAGGTCGGTTGGCACAGTCACCCTTCCCTGTGGTCAGAAACTCAACAAAGTTCTCAGTGAGCTAGGAAGACATTTTTACATCCCCACTGGTACTGCAGTGAAACAAAATCAGCAAGAGTAACTTTAACCCAAATAGGTGATTAAAACAAACAGTTGTTAAAACAAATTACATCGAAAATATTAAGTTACACAAACTCAGTAGGGCTGCCACTTAATAGTTGACTCAACCGTCACTCTTCTCTGAGAAGAGTCTTCATCAGTCATGATAGTCGCAAAAAAAACAACGTTAAACTCTGTTCAGGAGCTGCGCCTTGTCACCGGGACAAAAGTATCAGGGAACTGTTGCTACACGGACCATTTCTCTTGTAACACAGGGACTCACTTACCTGTGCACTGTTGCATATGCTAACTGTACTAGCAGTTTTTATTTGTTTATAAGCTGAAAGTTTAAACACTACTAGCGCAGGAGCGGGGGACCCAGTGGCTCACAGCCTCAGCGGAGGCCAGCTGATTTGCAGCGGCCCCGACCAGGACTCTGACTCTAGGGATGAAGACATGGGGGGTTCAGGCAGGGACGGAGTAAGAAAAACGAAGTAAGAGGAACAAACTTAATACATCGTCCAGGGCATCGATAAGTCTGTTAATATTTGTTATAGTGAAGCTTGAAGTTATTTATTCCAGGTTTTGAACGAGACTTGTGTGATGTCTTCTTGCTGGTTGTTCTGACACATTCAGAATCATTTACATTTTTTCCATTATCATTTAACAAAATATATCTGTTTAAATTATTAAATTAATATCATGAACGTGCGAGGACTATTCGACTATTGGCTTTATCTAATGACTACTATTTGACTAGTCAAATCTTGAGTCGGGGACAGCCCTTGTAATGTAAAACTAACTACATTTTTAAAAATAAAAAACTTACTTAGTAGTAGCGTTTTACTAGGTATTTTGTTTTCACAGTACAAGATCAGTGTCACTTAAAATTACTAAGCTACCTGATAAGAATGTTTTTAACTTACAAAATTGAGTTAGTTTTACTTAAAATGTTCAGTGTAATCAGTTTCAACATTTGTTTAAGTTAAAAGAATTGATCTGGTCATACAGTGATAGGACAAAAAATAAAATATTAATTCTATATTTATCAGTGTATAAACGATTTTATATGAGGTTGTAGTTAAATTCTTGCACGTGGCTAGTTTTTAGGAGGTTGCCAAACATCCTGTGTGTGATGAGCGGAGTTGACATGAGGTAACCTGTAGTGACGGACAGCTCAGAGATGCTCGCTCGCTCACTGACTGACAGCGGCGGCAAATCACACGCGCGCGCGCGCACACACGCACGCGGCCGTCTGTGATGCTGTGCTGCAGGGTAACTAACGTTAGATAATGGGTTTTTTTGCTCTCCTTACCCTCCGTCCTCCTGCTCCGTATTGGCTGGCGCTCCACCGGGCCCGGTTGTCCGCTGCTGGCTCTCCGTTACCGGGCAGCGAGCCGGAGTCCGAATCCTCCCCCTCCTCCAGCTCCTCTTCCCCCTCCTCTCTCTCCTCCGCCTCTGTCTCCCTCTCCTCCGTTTTTAGCCGCTTTGCCGCCCTTCCGTACTCCCCTTCCTCCCGCTGCCCGGCTCCTTCTACCGTCGACATGCTTGCGGCTGAGGTAGACCTGTTGGAGAAGCGCGACTGTGTCCGGAGCTGGTGGTCAAACTGACACTTCCATGTCAGCAGTTATCCCCGTAGTGTCTCCTCCTGAAGCAGCCTCCGTGTATCTGTCCGTGTCTCCTCGCGTATGTGTCTCTGTCCCTGTCTCGCGGCTCCACTCTCGGTCCCTGTCGCTCACCAACACCAGTGATTTTCTATGTGTGGAGGTGTGAGCGGACAGGACGCAGCCCGCCCCGTGCTCTTCTCTAATTCGTCAGATCGGTCCTGCGCCTCGGAAAAACGGCGTGTGATTGGCCGGTGTCGATGCGTCAACAGACAGCTTTCCACACTCTGCAGAGGAGTGCGCAGAGAGGGAGCAAACAGGGGGAATGGTGGGCTAGCTAGACACACAAGGAGACACACTTAAAATTGCAGAGCGTAGGAAAAACAGAGAGAGAGCTTTTGCTGTATCATAAAGGGATCATTCTCTGTCATCTATCATGTCTGGCTTAATTCCTCACAAGAAATCAGTGGACCTTACTAACCTTCCTGAAAGCTCTTTGAACATTATTCTAAGTAGGCTGCAATGTCCTCATAAAAGGTCATGCTAAGTTTATAAAGGACAAATGGAGCTACATTGATTGATCACATACCCAGCTATAACATTAGGAAGATTTGGCTGAAGGTATAGTGATTAATGTGAATTCCTTAGAGCGTATTATTCCTATGTTGTAGTAAAAATTAAAGGTGTACAGTACTCCAGCCATTAAACTCCCACAAATTTTGGTGGATTGTCTTGAATAATGTATTGTATTTCACATTATTATTTTGTCTGAGTTGTTTTAATTTAAAAATGTCTGTAAACTTGTAAGGGACTGATTAAAAAAAGAAATTGAAATAACAGTGGCCAAGATATGAGGACTTTTAGTCCCTAATGTGGGTCAACAGTTCCTATTAAATCAGGTTTTATACCAAAATGTTTAAATATGTGAAATTTGGTTCTTTCATATGCTGACAGAAGACCTGCCATCCCCAACCCATGCTATTAATTGGGGCTCCCAACCTCCAGGTGCCAGGGATCCCCATCCTGGGTCTTTTTGTTAGAATCTATTATTTAAACTTAACAACCCTAGTTTGTAACTCAGGTTTTCTGTAGAAATGTGCAGTCTTACCGGTACGTTACGTGCGGAGCTACTGAGGCCGAGCTTTTACCTAAGTGGCCCAGGTTCGATTCCAACCCACAGCCCTTTGCTCCATGTTGTCCCCTCTCTCTCCGCCCACATTTCCTAACCCTCTTCCACTGTCTCTGTCCATTAACAGCAAAAGTAGCTCCCACAAATACTTTCCAAATAGTTTCCAAACCCAAGTTGGGATAACCCTGATGACATCATCATTTCACAGGCTGAGCAGAACTTCACCATCACTAGTAAACTGACCCTAATGTGTAAAATTGTGAGTGCCCCTTAGATGAACACACATTTAAAAAACAAGTTCACCTGCTGTTCAACACTGCAGCTTATTATAAGGGTATTTGTGTTTTTTATGTAAAAAAAGGGACTATAATTGTTTTATGAAGGGATTACATGTACAAATAACAACAAAAAAACAGATGTTTTTACTTCCCTCTAGTGGTATCTCACACGCAGTATACTTTTGGTTTTATTTTTCCAGGTTTAGAGTGTCACGACCCGGCTCTGGAGCCGTGACAAAAACGAGGAGACGCAGTTGAATGACAAATTATAAGTAATTTATTTAAACATAACAACCTAAATGCAACCAGAAAAAGAACTAAATAGAAGATGAGGTGTGTTTGTCAGTAACATCAGTAGTGAAAGTGTGTGTATGCATGAGTGTGATATATAATGAAA